TTTTCTAGTTGAGGATTTATGCGGCCGCGTCGAAGCCGCCCAAAAGAAATTAGAGCAAGCAGAGAGAGAGAGAGAGACGACCCCAGTCATTCCCGCCGTCCCACTATCCCTAATTCTTTTTCTTTAAGTTTTTTTTTCTACTTCACTCAATGATTGATTGGCTAATTGTTGTTCTAATGCTTGATTTTTGGTTTGTAATTGTTGTTTTTCGGCTTCCAGGGCGTTTATCTTATCATTATTCCGCTCCGGGGAGTTAGGGCTAATCGGAAATTATTGATCGATAGAGAGCAAGAATTAGCCAAATTACGTGGCAATCAGCCCACAAACCACCAACAACAAAAAAATAATGATAACAGCCTAAAATGGGCGATTGGTTTGGGGATTGTAGCAGTGGTTATTTCTTTATTGTGTTTTATTCTCTTATTGAAAAAAAGAAAAGATTAGCAAAAACAAACATAATTTTTGCCGAAAGCCAAAATAAACCTGATATTTAAGAAAGAAACAGTCAAAGATTATCCTTTTCAATTAGACAAAGATATGAAAATACTGTTAATAGAAAATTAATCCGGCAAGCAAAGATTAAGAAAATAAAATTATTAGAAATTCCAATGCAAAAAAAAGAATTACAAAAATTAGCCCAAAAGGTTCAATTAGAAATAAAAGAGGAGGAATTGCAAAATTATTTAGACGTTTTTAAGCATTTAGAAAAATTATTGACCGACTTCCAAAAAGTTAAAGTAGGAAAAAAAACCAAGCCTCTGAAAAGAATTAATGTCGGATATTTAACTTTGCGAGATTTAGGAAGATTAAAAAAAGGTTTTTCCCAATCCCGAATTAGCCAACAAGACCAAAAGAAAAATTCTCTAATTACGGACAACGGTTCGGTATTGTTTAAGAAATAGCCCCGGCTTAATTAACTTTCCCCCTTTTTAGTCTCCTCCTGCTAACTATTAAGACTACCCCCATCCCGACAACAATTAGCAGCAAGAATAAAACAAGAATAATGGGTCAAGGAGAACTAGCAGGTTTATTAGAGACGCTTTTATTATCATTTTTCTCTTGTAATAGGCTTTGTCGCATAATCGCTTCCCGCATTTTGCGAGCAAAATTTGCGATTTCTTGGCTATCGGTCAATTTTGCCAAATATTCCTGTCAACTTTCTTCGTTTCCTCACGAGCTTTTGTCTAAGCGACTGAGTTCTATCTGGTGTTTTTGTAGTAATTCCTGGATTTCATTTTGAGTTGCTTGTTTAGCCTCATCCAAGGGAAGATTAGCAACTCTTTGGTTATTTTTATTATTCTGCTGAATAATGACGATTTTGATTCTCTTAACAAATTTTTGTATTTTTTCATTGTCTGTTAGGTTTTCCAGATATCTTTCTCAGTTTTCTACACTTTCTCACAGCCTGGTATCTAGTTGGGAGGCTTGAACTCCGTAGCGGTCAAATAGAGTTTCAATTTCTTTTTTGGCTTTAACTTTGGCTTCGTCCAAGGGAAGATGAGACAGTTCATCAATATTTTCCTGAGATTCTTTATTATTTTCTACAATAGGGTTCTTCGGTTTCTCTACTGGGGGGTTGGGTTTGGGTTGCTCAGGCTGAGGAGTTTCGCCCGTTGATTCGGGCTGGTTAGTTTGATTAATTATGGTCTCCAATTTTGCTAGGGCGGCTTTTTTGGCAGTTAGTCAATTTCGGTAATTATCTATCTGAGTCTTATTTCTGGTCTCTATTTGTTGGTTATCCGCGTGGCGGGCTGGATTTTCTAATTTCTCCCCAAGATTTAAAGTTGGTTGGTTTTCAT